GTGAACATCCATTTGAGGATTCTCAGTTCTTTTTGTGTAGAAAGGGAGAAAAACTTGTGTTGAAGCAATTGTTAAAGGTCCCCTATTATACTGTTTTTCAACAATATATCATATGTCTCAGTTGTATACAGAACATGTCTCTGAAGTTGTCACTATATTGGTATCAAAACTAACCAGGGACCTGAGTCTAAGGCCTAGGGGCCGTCACAAAATGCAGTCACAGAAAGTTAAAGATGTTTATTTTAAAAAGGATTTAAGGACGGTCGTCAAAAGTAGGGGGGTAGGAAGTAGCGATGGGAATTAATAATCGAATATTTGAATATCCAAAATGATTCAGGTATTCGAATATGAGTTTTTTTATTGGAGGGGTGCCTAAATTGATTAGATATTATCAAATGGATTAATTAAATGTATGCGACAGTGCCATTTTAAATATCTTAAGAAAAATGTCAAGAAAACTTGGTTTGGGTTCTATATTTATTTGAACATTTATTTATTATTAAAACGTATTAAACATTTAAAAAAACAAAAAAACATTTATAGGATATGTAAATTCGGTTAATCCTGTTTTTTTGGGGGTCGAATATTCGAATATAAATTTGCTTTAAAATTCCCATCCCTAGTAAGAAGTGGAAAAAAGGGTAATTGACTCGATTTGGCGTGCAGCTTTTGTAATCCCATCACACATTTTCCCTTTTTAAATAGAAGTAAATACATTGTATAATTCTAACATGTCTTTTGAGAAGAAATTATTCCAATCTGACGCTGGAACAGAAATGTCACCTTTTTTATTTTTTATTTTATTAGCTGCTAAGATTTATCAGTATAACCTAAGTCTGCCATAAAGACTCATAATCACATGTGACTGTGTAGTGATGCTAGTGGTGTCAAATAATACGTTGAGGGTTTAACAATAATTTGTTCTACACTGAACCACAGAGAGAACACACGTCCCATTGACGTCACGTTGCTTATTCTGAATTTACATACTTTTCATCATGTCACTTTGCTCTTTAAACGACTCCCGAACCAAACAAACACAGATTATTTGGTGTTTATGAACACTGTTTGATGGACAGAAGCACCCCACATGAGAGTCATTCAATCAGAGTACGTCACTGTCTCTAAAGGCCTGTGTCAACTCGGATAAATGTAATACTTCAAACCCCAAATCCCAGCTACATCTCCACTACTTCTTCTTTATGTCCAATATATATGGATTACTACAGGTGTAAACGAAATGCAACCCAAGGGTGAAGCACTTTATCTAATGACAGACATAGAAATATAATCGTGATAGATGAAAAGTAATTTTCGAAGGACCCTTTCATCAACACAGACGTGCAATCACCGCTAAATGCACTTTAACACAGGGGTATCTCCTCTCGCACTTTATGTAGCTCTTGTATCATCTCTTGCACTTTATATGTCGTAGCTGCTACATTGTACTGCCATGTGGTAAATGCTTGTATGCTGCTCGTGCTCTTCCTGCATATCATGTATTTATTTTTGCTATGTTTATAAATGTCATGTTCTTATATGTTGTATGTGAGGGACTACGGATGGAAATTAGCTTAAAGGGGACCTATCATGCAAAATGCACTTTTGTACATCTTTTATACATGAATATGTGTCCCCGGTGTTCCAGGGAACTCACCAAGTGTCAGAAAACACAACCCTCTCTATTTTCCTCCATACCCAAATCTCTAAAAAAGGGGCTGCAACGGATCTGATAAAAACTGATCCAGATTTGAACACTGTCCTGACGTCAGGACAGTGGCGCTACGGCTATTGGGCCAACTCCACCAATCAGGAGGAGACAGCCACGGCCATTGCCGTTCGAAAGCGCTGGAGATGCTGTAGTACATATGCCAGGCCAGTAGATGGTGCTGTTCTCACAGAAGGCATATTTATACTTTTTTTTGTTCAAAATACCAAACAGATCATGCATTTTAGCCATGCCTCATTTCGCTCAATTTGCACTTTTGTAGCCCTGTTTTTGCAAGGGCTGATTCTGTGAGAACAGCACCACCTACAGGCCTGGCATATGAACTACAGCGTCTCCAGCGCTTTCGAACGGCAATGGCCACGCGCCACCATCCTGACGTCAGGACAGTGTTCAAATCTGGATCAGTTTTTATCAGGCTTGTCACCAATATTGACTCTGGTGATTGCGTACTCCTCCAACTCTTTGTCCTCAGAATCCTGCCAGAGGAACCTGTGGAGGTGCATCTCTCTATCTTCCAACCATACAGAATTGTACATTTTCCTGATGTCCCCTAAGGCAGCATTGGTTCCCCCTCTGAACCTCAGGAGGACAGCACGTATCTGGTTAAGGACGTCTGGCCCTTTCATCAGCAAGTCGTTCATGCTGGTGCCTCTGAACTTTTGACTGCTGTTCCAGACGAGTCTTACTGGGGTTGTTGTAGAGTGTGGGTTTGGTGCAATAAGGTGACTCACGAACCATACTGGTCCTTTCCAGGTCATGATCTGCTCTTTAGTCAACTTGATTGCAGCTCCTCTGTCGACCATGTCATGCACTTGAGCTTTGTAGGCAGACTTCCACTCTGGTGCTTTGGCTAGCTGCTTCTCTGTTCTTAGGAACGTTGCTTCAACTGCACCTCTGTTGTTCGGCAGTGAGGCTGGATCCTCTAGCCAGGGATACTTTGCATGCCAATGTGGTTCTCTGCTGTGATCATCGCTCATGACATAGGTGAGTCCATCCTTTACCACCTCAAGCTCCCTTTCCTCGGCAAGGGTAATTTCTTTACCACCGGGCTGGCAGTTTCCGCACCGGCAGCCTCCACATCTGGGCTCGCATGCTGCGCCAATGCTGTCCCATTGCCACCATTTCAGGACACTCTCTTTGCTGGTCGAAACAGTTGATCCCTGTATTTCAGCTGCTTCTTTGCTTGAGGGGTTTTGTTCTGGAATGGGGTTAGTGAGCTCTTCATATTTCACAGCTGCTGCTCTCATTGATCTTGCAAAGTGCGTCTTTGACATGTGGGCTGACACTTCAACCTCCTCAAACAGTCTGGGGTGGGTTCCTCCAACTGTTCTCCCGAGTGGTCCGTCCCACAGTACGAGGTCTCCCACGACTCTGATCCTCTGAGGAGCTAGCTGGCCTTCTCTGTGGCTAATGAGAAGCTCGACTTCTTTGGGCCTCACAAGCTCATCAAGAGGTACGTCTGGGAAGAATGGCTGCAGTTGCTCAGGTGTCACACTTTTGTGGACATCTGCAATGTTGTCAAGCCCATAGCAAACCAATTGATGTGCTCTCAGTGTGCCCTTGGGGGTGGATACACGGATTTTGAGGAGATAGCGCTTTGTCTTTACTTGAACCTTCATTCCGCCAACTCCGTGTACAACGAGCATGATATCTTCACTCTTGAGATCCAGGCGGCTGGCCGCTCTGTGAGTGATGTAATTTGTGTCAGATGCTAAGTCGATGAGTGTTCCGACTTTCTGTCCGGCGTTAGCTGTGACGACGAGTAGCATCATGATCACTGGAAGCTCTTGCATTCCACTCTTTTCAAGTAGACTTTGTTGGTCATTTGAGGGTTTGAAGACTCTGGAGGCAACATTTGAGAAAGCCTCCCTACACTGCTTTGCTAGGTCTGGTGGGAGATTTTTGATGAAATCTTCTTGACCCTCTGTGTACTTCTTTTTGCCTTTATCCTTTTCAGATTTGTCTCCAGACCTCTTTGACACAGATTTGGGACAGAGGTAGTAGTGATGCTCAGCCTCTCCATCTCTGCAGTCCTCGTTTCTGCATAGAAAGCCAGGTTTGCAGAATGACTGGTCGTCATGAACCTCAAGGCATCTTGTACACGCACCAAACTTCTTTACTGAAGCCTTCCTTCCTGCTGCACTCAGAGCCCTGAACTGCTTGCAGAAGTAGAGCTTCCTCTTGTGTTTGACATCGCCACAGACTACACAGCCTTGGTCATCAGCTGACTTTGTAGACTTGGTTCTGGCACTTTTCTGCTCAATTCTGGTGTCTTTCCAACTCGGCTTACTTGGTTTACTTGGCTCCTCATCTCGTAGCTGCTCGAGCTCCTCGTAGATAGTCTCTTGCTGCTTGAGAAATGCCAAGAGATAATCAAACCTTTTCTCTGGTGTCACACCATTTTTTGGATCGGCTACATAAACAAGCCACTTCTTCTTAAGGGACTCAGGGAGTTTACTCTCTATCGATTTTGTTACGAGAGGATTCTTTATGGCGCCTGTGTCTCCGAGGTCACTCAGGTCCCAGAGTGCTTTCTCCACGGCTTGAATCAACTCGACAATTTTCCTTGGTTGGCTACTTCTGACAGATGACATCTTCTGAAGGTCTTCCACTATTTCAATGGCAATAGCCGTTCGATTGCCATAGCGGTTCTCCAAGACACGGAGAATGTCATCTGCTGTGTTATAAGTAGTGAGGTGAAAGTCTTTCTTGATCCTGTCATCGAGACTGTCTAGCAACTGTATCTTTTTCACTTCTTTGGAGCCGGTTGGTTCTCCCTGTTTTTGGAGCGACTCCCAGTCTCTTCTCCACCTGTGAAAATCACGCTTGTAGCCAGAGAATCTGGGGAGAGCTGTGGGTTTCAGCCTAATGGTTGGGGTAAAGATGGGATGACTGGCAGTATTTGTTGATCCTGACCTTGTGTCTTCCTGTCGTCTCGCCATGATGAACTCAGCCTTTCTGGAAACCAGACTGGTTGCTTCCCGTTCGATCTCTTTCAACCGATTGCGGAACTCCTTCTGGTCTTCCACTGGAACCCACTGCTGCCACTTGCAATGAGCTTCCTTTGCGGTCCCCACCAGTGACTTCAGATGGCTGAGCATGAATTCGTAGGCCTCATGGTTGCCATCAGGACGTACTCGAGCGACACGCTCACACTCAGCTTCTGCTAGTTCTACACACTGTAAGACCGAACATTACAAGCTTCTGAAAGAAAATGGGTTGTTTTAACTCAAACATTTAAAAAAGTTAATTCATTCATCAATGTTTTGATGACTATGAACTGATTTTTAATATTGTGTATACAGTGTTCAACCACTTTGGGTCATATTGGTGATTGTACTCAAACATTTTTACTGAATCTGTCTGACGCTGGTCTGACGTCATCACGTATGTGCTCCGCCCCCGACGTGCGTAGACGTTCTCTCACCCATGCCTTCACCAGAGTCCGCCATTAGCTCCTCGCCTCGGTTGAAATCGCTCATACTTTTAAGAATACTTTCCCCACCTTGCTGATTGCACTCACTGCCGGAATCTTGATCCTTTTTTTGGCCGCACTACTCTGGTGAGTTACGTCTTGCCTTTGCACAGTATTTAAATGATGTTTTATTAATTTCTGCATCTAATGCACTTTGTGTCGCATGGTGTGTTAGTTTTATTTGAGCTCTTGTTAGCTAGCCTACATTTAATATCTGCCTTACTTGAAAAATGATTTAACTTACGTGTAAGACAGTATTTCTATATTGTTTTAAGTTATATCTCAAAGTGGAACGTTTGTGTTGCAAAAGTTCTCTGGAAAATTCGAACCTAAAATGGCGGCAGGCCGCGCGTTTTCTTTCTTCTTTTTTTTTTACTGCATGTCTGGGCATGTTTTATTAACTTAGAGGCATAGAGGATTTACGTTCATTTGATCCACTACAATGTACCATAACCGTGCGTTCTGCATGTTAGTAAAAGCAAGCTAACTTGAAACAATAGACTATTCATTTTACAAGGTAATTTATACCCCCCAGCGTTTTCAATTACATGTAACTTAGCAAAGGTAATGATTGCACAGTGATGATACTAATACTTCTAGAGTCTGTGGAATCTCAGCTTTAATCTGATAAGTAATAAAGTATTTCTACCGTGAGTTAGGCATTTTTTCGCTCCGGGCTAATTTAGAGCTTCTTGTGAGACTTGTGTTTTGTTTCGGTAAAAATGGTTCGTATCGTCAGTTAGGTGAGTTTCGTTAAGTGGGTATAACACATTAATAGGTTTTTAAATGTTAAGAAGCCCTGAGACAAAGTTCGTGAACAAAAAGCCCTCTGTACCGGTGGCTGCCCGGTTTAACAGATTAATAGTCTAGTGTTTCAAGTTAGCTTGCTTTTTACAAACATTCAGAATGCACGGTTATGTTAAAACGTTAGTGGATAAAATTAACGTAAATCCTCTATGCCTCCAAGCTAATAAAACATGCACAGACATGCATGCGGTAACAAAAAAGAAGAAAAGCGAGCGTCCTGCCGCCATTTTCAACCCAGTCTCACGGCATTTCGTGTTATTAGTCACGAAATTAATTTAATCTATTGATTCGTGTTCACCAACACGATTTTAAATGCAATGTATTTCTATTGGTAGTATGTTTCGTGCCTGCAACACGTCTTTTTGTCCGGTCGGGTCTTGGAAGACCGGAAGCTGTGTGGTTCATAAAAACATGTTCTTACTCAATATCTTACCCTAAGCCTAACCCTATCCCTTTTATTTTAAATTGTATAATGTCTGAGTTTTTTTGCCGTCAGTGAGGAAAAGAAATGGCTCAGAGCCTCAGAATACTGAAATCTGTATTTGATGTCATCTTTTTTTCCTTCTAATTTGTTATTATTTGGTGCAGGCACGAAACATACTACCAATATAAATACATTGCTTCTAAAATCGTTCTGTGTCAGAATACTGAAATCTGTATTTTTTTAAATGTCTTTTTCCTTCTAATTTGATATTATTTACATTGCTTTTAAAATCGTTCTGTGTGACACGAAAAAAATGGCGAAATCGTGTTGGTGAACACGAATCAATAGATTAATTTCGTGACTATAACACGAAATGCCGTGAGACTGTGTTGCCATTTTAGGTTCGAAAATAGTGTTTCTCAGATCATTTTGTGAAAACTTTGCAACCCAGCTAACCTTCAATGTTTTTTCTCTTTAGGAAACTGAAGCAACTGGCAGATATATGGCTTCTTCAATCTGACTCTAACATCAAAAGACCAAAGAGGGCAGAGGTGAATTTCTTGCCTAATTTCCCACTGGGTGAAGATGGTACAAGCCTCGAGCGATTGAGACTCCAAATCGTAGATGAAGTTACGAGGAGTGATAAAAACCTTCCCTTGATTGAAAAGTTAATGCAGACTACCTTTGCCCTGCGGCGCAATGAGATCATCAATGATGAGCTACCTGTTGGAGAGATCCTGGAACGCTGGCCTGCCTTGAAAATGGAGTCACAGGTGAAAATATTGTATTTATTACCACTATATAATTATTTTGTGTGCCTTTGTCACTGATAACTTTGACATGTTTACTCAGTTTTAGCATGTTATGTTTGTGTTTATCTCTGCTGCCTTCAGTCCACATCTACATTGTACTGTGAATTAAATAGTCATTTTATATTTTGGCAGATTTGTGCAGAGTTTCACAGGATAACAAACCTCAACCTGAAGAACCACTTCTATGCGGAGTTGGATAGACATGCCCCCCGTCTTCAGAGCCTGTTCAGGAAGAAGGCGGCAAGCAAAGGGAAGGTAGCTGAAGTTCTGATTCAGCTATTCGTCTCCTATGACCTCCAGGTGAGTCGGTTATGCCTCTTGGTGTTTTATTCTCATACTAGAGTGGATTATCTTTGTCAAAATGGTAATCTCTTCAGTCATGGAAGAGCCCTTTCTTGTGATATCAATTGTTGTGTGGCTATACTGTTTAGCATCCAAAGTAAAACAAAGATATGTTCTCACACTCAAGGAGCAAGGTGACGTCTATGTCCGACGTGCTGCTGTCCTCCGTGCTCTGCCTGCATATCTGCATGAAGATGACTCCACGTTTCTGAGGCTGTGGCATGTAAGTCAGCATAATAACTGTTTTGAATGTATGTGACAGATCATCAAAAAATATAGTTTATCTTGTTACATTGTTTCAGGAGCTCTATCGCAGGAAGACAATTATTTGAATTTTTATAGTGAAAACATTATAATAAATGATAGATTTAGTTTGAAAAAGTATGAACTGTCCTGGTGTCATCAAAGCTTGATTCTGTCACTGAGGTTATATTACTCAAACATTATCTCTTGTGTTGCTCACATCCCATTCAGGTTCTAGTTCCAAGATTTGAATATTGCCATAAGAATTGTAATTATTGTAAGGTACACAATGGATATGTTGAATATAATCTCGCTTTACTTTACTACTTTAGGATTTATTTGAAAGCTCTTTAGGTTTCAGTGTTAAAAATGGGCTCACGTGATTTAATAAAATATACAATTAAGAGGGGGCTTTCTTTCCTACAGCATCAGTGTTCAATACAAAAGAATCTCTAGTGTTCCCCATATTTTTGTATGTGTAGTAGGGAGAGATTATACTGTAAATATATATTCAGTTGCCAGTTTATTAGGTACAACTAGCGAATAGTAACACAGTCTAATACAGTGATAAAATAAATCCTACCCTTATGAAGGTTATAAATGTTTTTTTTGTAGAAAGCATTTATGTCAACTGATTGGGTATTTTGGAGGCTGAAGTTTCTGGGGCTGTAACATTATGTTGTGCAATGCTGATAGGTGTTTCCTTAACCCTTTAACTGCCAGCGCCACCATTTGGTAGAGCACATTTTGTGTCTTGATATCTTGTTTAAAAAAAGAAGTTGAACTCCATCTGATTCAGCCAGCTCTACCATCTGGTTGACGTGTTATGCACACAACAACCTCTAGATGTCACTGTGGTTCAAATAGAAAGCCCTTCAGCTAGCTTCCACTGAGAAAGTTGGCAATGCTAAAAATCACTGCTGAAGAAATCTCTTTTTGGTCAACTTTTGTAAGGTAACCATATCAATTTTGACATATTTTAGTGTCAGAGCACTGACTGAACATATTTAGATAACTTGATGCACAAAAAAAGTTTTAACAAGGGTGTAATTATTTTTTGGAAAATATGCTCAACCAATCGGTGGAATTGGCTTTTTATGGTAAACTAGCAATATGACTTTTTCAGAGTTTCAGAGATGTTTTCCAATAAAATATGGTAAATAAATGGCTAGATTCATGGTAATATTACTAAATCTAATACTGCCTTATGAGTCTCAGAGTGAAAGAGTGATAATAATTTATATAGCACCTTTCATGCATGGCATTCAGCCCAAAGTTGCTCACAGATGAGCAAGTTAGGCCAACACAGGATATAGACATTTGCTGTTAAGCCAGTGGTTTCTTGTTAGGCCAATTCAGCATCTGAAGTAAGATGAGCAATTATTTTTTTTATTATGAAAAACACTTTTTTTTTACAATTATAATGTATTATCTTTTATGAATATATCTGGTTGTATATATTGCTCATTTTCCATAAAAGAAACAAATGTATTTCAGTTTGTGTTTTATTTGAGTTTGATGCGTACAAATACTGTACTGTATATGATGATTCTTGAAAATGCACTTTTACCATAAAAGGCCAGCTCGACCAGTTGGTAGAGGCTCATAAAAACAAAACTGTGGGGTCAGTCAAAACATTTTTTTTAATTTGTGGCCCATTTGATAAAAAAAAATGCAAACAAATAATTTTTCCATAGCTTTTTTCTTGGTCTGGCAGTTAAAGGGTTAAAGCCACATTATGCACAAAACATTAGGTTATTTGATGTGTTATGTCACTGATGTATTTTTCAGAAAACAGATTTCTGAGATAGCCAAGGCAATATGGGGTAATGGGTAACGTTTATCTGTTCTTGTCATCAGGTGGAGCAGTCTGATGATCCAGACATAGAGGACATCGCGGTCGGACTTCTCATGATCAGTGCCAGGTCAACAGATACCACGCTCTTCTGCCCAGAGAGGATCGCTGTTGTCATTGAGGGTAACAGAGTTATCGAACTCCCTACACTGGCTGACACATTCATCCTGCTTTTTGCACTGACCTTTGCCCTGCATCTGAGCTATCCAAAAGACTTGGCCAACACTTTTGACTTCACCCAGAAAGTGTTGATGGGCCTTGATGAGGGGAACTTGAAGAATTTGAAGCCCAGGGTGTTGAGCCTGAAAAATGACCTTTTGGCAGTGTAATACTACCAACGTGCAAAGTTGCACTTTAACAATCACACACACACACACACACACACACTAAAATAAACAACTTCTTTACCGAAGACTTGTATTTACGGAAGACAGGCAAGCTATCTTCCGGCTGTGATTGGTTGTTCGTAGTCACCTGGCAAGCTGTGCTCTCGGCTGAGTTCAAAAGTTAAAGTTCTTTAAACTAAAGATGCAGTCATAGTGTCCTGGTCACGCCTTGTGAAATTGGGGTGTCTTTATTGACAACAGTGGATTTGAGCAAGGGTACCGCCCCTATGCAAACTGCCAACATTATTTTTCTCAGAAAAAACCACACACACACACTCTGTTCTCCTGTTTACATCCTGCTGCTTTACATCTGTGTTCTGTATTGCATTGACAGATTTGTTACTGTTCAGCTTCAAGTTGAAGGACTGTTTGTAGATGTTGTTTTATACTTTTATATGTATTGGGTCTTTATGTGTTAAATTAATACGCAGAACTGTTCCTGAAAATTGTGTTTAATTCTTGCCAACACAAGCACATTATGTGTCTATGCTGGTTTTGTTAAATGTATTCAGTACCTATTCATTTTCATATGCCTTGGTAGGCTTGAAGACCCTGTATGTGTAAGTGATCTTTCATCTGAACCTGGTGTGTCTCTCGTGGTAGACTGATTTCATAGAAGAGTCTCTTTTAACTTGAGGAGGAGCCTTTCACATAATAACTTTTAGAGCCAAAGTTTGTTTCTTTTGAAACTATTGTGGTTAAAAAGGCCCTAGCACTGTTTTTAAGGTATATTTTTTATTTAAGAGTTATTTGCTATAATGTGTATGTGTATATATATATATATATATATTGTTTCTTAATAAAACAGTGATTTGCATTTAAATTGTCAGTGTAAAAGTGCTTTTGAATGTTTACTCAATGTTAACTTAGGGATTTTGAGTTACAGTTATCTGAAAATATTTATGTAATCGGTTTCAAAAAATGTTTTAAGTACTCTACATTCAGTCAGTTTTGAGTACTAATCAATTGACGTTTTTAATTCATATCGCGTTTTATACAGCGAAAAGTTTTTTATTTAGAGATAATAAAAATATTCAAGTTAAATATATTTGATTTTCATATGTACTGTGCTAACAAAATAGCTAGTTGAAAAGATATGAACATTTTTAAGTCAACAATACTTGATCTTTATATGTACAGTGTTAACACAAATTATTAGTTAAAAGAAACTTAATATATAATGTTTCTTTAACTTACAAACAATATGTTTGTGTGCCTTGAAAATTACTACTAAATAGAACTCAATTGATAAGATTATACTTTAACTTAAAACATTTCAGTTAAGGTATAAGTATTACTCAAAAATGTGTATGTAATCAGTTTCAAAGAAACTTTTGAGTTCTATTAACTTGTCAGGTTTTACAGTGCAGCTGTGCACAGTTCATCTCCAAACTTTTGCCAAAGCATGTCTCTAAGTAGCTCTCCAACCTCCTTCAGCTTTAATTCACATTCATTTGTGGTCCTTGCTATGTCCGCTTCTTGCTGTTCGGTTAGTTCGACTGACTCCTCCTCTTTCAGCTCTGCCTCCTTTACTGCAATGACCTCTGCCATGACTTCGTCATTGGTTTCCATGACTTTGTCGGCTCCCATGGAGAGTTTATTGAAGCTATATTGGAGCTGGTCTTCTGACATGCCGTCGTGAGTTCTGATGATACTGTTAGCTAGTCGTGTGAAGGATCGTTTTGCAGCAGTCCGCTCATTTTTGAGCTGCTCAACTGTTTTCCTGACTGTTTGATCTGTTGGATTTGGGTCCACTGACTGTTTGCAGGGTGGTTTTTTATCTTTTTCCAGGTCACTGTTTTCTCTGTTCCAGCTTACAGTCCCGGTTTTTCACTGTCAAGCCCTTGGTATTTTTGCAGTTTCCCCGCTTGAAAGGGATGGTACAGTCCATATAGGAGGTTTTCACTGGGTTTCACTCATACAATGACCACAACTTTGTTTTCTTTTGAGTTCTTCTTTACTTTAGTTTTTGTTGTTTGCAGTACAGCATATAAGGTTGTACCAGTGCTGCTTCTTTGTAGTTTCTTCTGCTGGTTTGTTGCTGCTGCTGGACGCACGCTCTTTAGTTTGTCCCTCTCCAGCTTTGAATTACCGCCCTCCTTTCAGGTGTGGTGCTTTTAAAGCTGCAGCGACGCTGATTAGCAATTAGGGACTGATTACAGACAGCTGCCACTCTGTCAATCAGCCCGACTTTTTAACCCTTTGCTCTCCTGTGGATTCTCCAAGTTGACTTCACAGGCATATTTACATTTTAAGCATTATTTGTTTAAAGCACATGTGTCAAACTCAAGGCCCGGGGTCCAAATCAGGCCCTTGGTGGATTTAATTTCGGCCTGCAGGATAATTTCTAATTACTATTAGATCTGGCCCTCCGGTATATTGCACGCACACCTTCACTCAATCCTGAGGGTCTCCTCAGCTCAGAGCCTGACCCCAAACATTGATGAACTTGCACCCAAGATGAGATGCCAAGTATCTGGCTTGAACTAGCATCACAGAGCAGCAAACTGAGTTTACATGGATGTTTCCTTCTGCACTTTCTTTCTTGTGACAACAGGGCATGTTTGGTTTGTTCTTTGAGGGAAATAGTTTTTTTGAAGCTGTTGTTGGCCTGTGGAAAAATGTAATCATAAGAAATGACTCTGGAAAAGCTGCAGATAGAGCCATAAGAAATGAATGCAACTGATTATTTAATGTTTAATGTTGTTTTTATAGGCAATAATTTAAGCTTTGTTAGTTCCAGGTTTAATATGTGCAATAAGTTCATTTCAATAAGTTTTGCTTTAAACATTGAACCAGTCCGGCCCTCATAGTACCAATTTTTTTTATTTTGGCCCACTGTGTATTTGAGTTTGACACCCCTGCTTTAAAGTGTTCATCAATGTGCATTGTCCCTGTTCAAATAAACGATTCAATGAAATGAAATGAACAACATTTTTTATTTTCAACTCTCCTGTTTTTGCCCTTGCAGGCTGTAATATATGAATATACGCTTGTTTTTGAAGAGTATTTATGTACATAGGCTCCCGGTAGCTTTTCCATAAATCCCATAAAAACCAACAATCCAGCCGTAGTTTCTCGGAAGATCAGCAAATACTTAGTTAATGTAAAGCCCTGGTCATAGCAAAAAGTTATAAATGAACCTGCTTAAATTAGGGATAAGCAAATGTTGTCCTTAAAAAACTTTGGAAGAAGACAGTAAAACACCATGTCACAGTTATCCTGGCCAACATTATGTTATCCTGATTCATCAATGTGCTTGTCATGTGCACAGTAGCTCCAGTGTAGTTATGGCAATGAAAAACTTAAGTCACAGGCTCCTCCAACAGTGCAACATGAATATATATATATATATAGGACATAAAACAAATCAAACAGATCAAACAATAACAAAAGCCACATTGTGCGTGAATTGTTTCCTACATAAGGTCTTTCTGCAGGGCTACTTCTCTTTCTTTGAGCGTCACACCGTCACGAGAGTCCACGCTTCATCACAGCCTGGAAATGAAGCTCTGATCCATTATTTTCAATGCATCTAATCACATGTTTTTTTAGTCACTGTCTGCCAGATCTGTCTGATTGTTAAAAGTGGTTGGTAACTTTTAGGCTGTTAAGAATTATATTGCAAACGCATCTGTAGTTAGGTTTGCTCACCACTTTTTTAAATGGTGTCAAAGGCATTTTATCTTAATGAATATACGCTATCTGGCACTTCCTGTAGTTTAAGCTGAAGCTACAGCATGAAACCAAGGTTAACTTTCTCATGATGGAAGTATTTCCACCTTTTTTTGTTGTTTTATCACGTGAAAGACTCACACTGTGGTGAACTTTGAAAGGCTGAAGATACAAAGAATCCTTTCAGATCGAGGAGTACTATGTCGAATTACTTCAAACACTTGCTGTACAGACTCACAGCTGCAACTGTGTAGTAAAACAGTCTGAAAGCTGCACTTTTTAAAAGGCAAATAGAAACCAGAATCCAGGATTTACAGTACACATTCTTAAGCTGTCTTAATGATGATAAAACTAATATATTTTAGCGCCGGTTCAACAGACCTAAATATGGAGTGTGGACTGCTACTTGGAGAGGTCCCAGTCCACCTCCTGGGCCCCTGCCGTGGTGCCCTTGCCGGAGATATACATTGCCAAAATAGCTACATGACATTCACCAAATATGTTATTGGCTCTGCTTGGAAAGGTTTTCAGCACTCAGTGGCAATTTCTAGTTCTGTACCCATAGGGGAACAAAGTCACAGCCAGTGCTGAGCGGTTTTATTGCTGATCATGTGGGGGGGGGCCTTACAGAATCTTTGACTACTGATGTCGCCTTTGAAAACACACATAAAAACAGTACTACTTACAGTTTCAAAGGCGCCCCCTTGTTGTGATGATGTAGGTTAAATTAGAATATCAAAGGGTGGACTATTAGGAAAAAATGAATAAAACGACTTGATGTAGACAAGGCAATATTATATATTGTGTGTCTTCTGACCAGCTCTACATGGTGCAATGACACACAATATACACAAGTCTCAGTGGGGTAACGAACCAAAGTGAATGGTTTAGTATAAACATTTACACATGAAAACACAGCGTGCTTGAAAAGAAAAAGGTTGGAGTGATGGAAAACATTCTGATAAACTTCCGATTTGTATTCCTCTTGCAAGTCATTCATGTATTACCTTCCTAAGTTTGTATGGAGCCATGTAAACTTACTGTGGCCTACAATATAAACATCTTATAGCAAAAGGGCAAAAAGACTCCCGACTTCTTTAAGAAGGGCCTATAAACCTTTCTTTTAAAAAAAGCCTTTATTAAACTTGTGTTTTAAGTATGTATTTTATGCCCCTTGTAGCACTTTGGGATTGCTTTTAGTAATGAGAGGTGCTTTACAAATCAAATGTATTATTATTATTATTATTATTTTTATTATCAAAATATGTTTCAAAGTCTACAATATAAACATATTTTCGCAAAAGGGCAAACATATATTTCAAAGTA